AGGTATGACATTGCCCACCCAAGTGCCATTCGAACGCTTCGCTCGTTTGAGCAAGTGGAGCTGCGTACTTGGCTCACGATCATCAGCACCGGAGCTTTGAGGAACAATGTCAAAGCGATGCACGTAAACCAGAAAGTGGTCCTTCCATGACCAATTCGTGCCACTTTTTCCAACAGCACGCATGATAAGCCTGATTTGGCCAATCGTATGACCTGCGACTTGACAATAAGTAGAGATTCAGCGTGACATAAGATCATAACGTACCACGAAGACCATCTTCTGGCCATAAGTACCTCGCCTCATTGTTAATGATGACTGTGTCATACCGGCCACATGTCCAGGGATCAGAAGGAGGTGCACAATTGAGGGTCTGCGCAGGCCGTATGATGCTAGCATCGTGGAAATCGGTGTCCTGCACCCGAAGTTTAAACCAGACTTGAAGTTTGTCGAAGGGAAGTGAAGCAGTAGGTCCAGCTCTTCTAGCCCCCCCAATAGTATGTATGTGATCCCTCCCATGAGTAGCCTCACGACGAAGAAAGTCGGCAATAGCTGGTCGTAAGTCAGGAAGACCAAACTTGATGGCAGCATCGTCAACAGATATGTTTCTGATAGAAGGATCGTAGGTGAGGTGAAACACTGTGCGTTCGACAACGAACGAGCGCACTGGCACAGGGACTGTCCCCACTTCCCTGTGCTGGAGGACCTTGGCAATTCCGAAGTAATTTGTGATTGGACGCGAATGTCCAGGGTGTTTCATTGTCGTAAGAAGGTCTGCTGGGATATCGCGATCGTCGTCCACGTCGAAATCAACATTCTCATCCTTCTCATCGTCATCTGGATCCTGCTGCCCTGAGTCTGGGACATTGTCGAGCAGACTCATAGCGAGGTCAAAGCGGCGGCATTTATCAGCACGGTCAAGATGGCGACATATCTGGGGATCGTAATTATTATTATTGCTCGAGCGAGCAGGACTTTTGATTTCCGTTATGTGGGCATGCTCCGTGGTATCGGCTGTCCATTGCAGAGGAACTCCAGTGTTCCTTATGCTTGGAACTATGGACTGCATAAGCTCAAGCTTCGGTATGTACCAGTTCTCGATAACGCCGCCACGCTGACCACGACGAAATCCACCCTCTATAATAGCATCTTTGTTAGCATGAAAATGATCAAGTGCAGTGGAAATTCGGGCGAGTAGGATGTCGTCAATTACGGGTGACTGTACGAGATATCGAAAGTCCATCAGAGCTCATACAGCAGTCATCACTGCGCTAGGAATTGCATCCGCACTGACTGCAACGATCGAGCGTTGAATGTCGCATTGAGTACGTCCTGTAACCTGTTTGAGTTTTGAAATCCCGCCATGAAAATGACGGAACCCAGTGACAGCCTGCAACACAGAGAACCGAAAGTCAATCTCTGTATCACCTACTGCGCAAATAAGCCACTTTGCGTCGTGGTCGTAGAACTCGCGATGAATGAGGTGAAGAAATTCGGGAGTGAGAAAATGTGATGGATCACTGAGGACCCAATCCATCCAGAATGGTGCGTTCACGCCATTCAAACGAAACTTCTGTGCTTCGCGAAAAAATATCTCGATGTCGTTGGGATCAGCTTTACTCCGCGCAATGTCCAGCTGGGAGAGTGTAGTTGCTCGTGTGCGAGGCTCATGATGGAAAGGGTCTCCAAACTGTTTGTACATGGCCGTAGTGACTGGGGAGGTTTTCCCGCCAACAGCAGCCAGCATCATGGCCTCCGGGGTATCGACAATGTAGCTCGCAAGTGGTGTAAAACAGTAGCGACTGTGTCCAACAGGGTCCGATAGCATGACTCCTTCGCGAGCAGCCAGCTTGAGTGGATGGAGAACAATATCTAAGCATTCGTGAATGAGGCGATCCTCAAGTACGCCTTGCATGCGTTTTTTCTTGTAGATGAATTTTGGGACGGGAAGTAGAGCGGTAAGCACAAAGGCATTCGAAGACGACTTGAGTCGCGTGGACATGCCTATGTTGGCAAGACTAATCAGAAGGGGGTGTGCAACTCTGTCACCTGTCATGGTTGATATATTCGTCTTGTCAGACGATAAGATGGTCCCCAGGAGTGTTGCACCTCTTGGTAGGGCCGACTGTCCGAAAATCGATAAGTACGACGACTCGCACAGATGAAACTATACGTACCTGCATATTCCACGCATCATCACTAGTCATCCACTCTGAATATACACGGCACAGCCGCTGCGCAGTGCTATACACCCTGCGAGGCGTAAAGTCTAGATGATCGTGAAAGGCAGGGTGGTTGAGAAGGCCCGAAATACAATCTAAGGGATCACGCCAATACAAGACAACGGGCGATTTCGTGGGATGTGCTGTAGGTACTACTTGAGACATCCAGCGCGGGCCACTAGGCAACATTTCCGCTCTGCCACGCAGCTCCTTGGCCGAATGGAACGACAACGGAAGGGTCTTTATCTAAAGAAGACACCTTCAAAAATTGTATGTTATCAAAAAGAATTTATTACTCACCATGTCGAGCGAAAGAAAACTGTCTATCTTCCCCATGCTTAATCCAGAGCGAAGTAGCCATGACCCAACTTCCCAGTCTTTCTGGCCACTGAATGGATAATACGGGTTCGTTGCACAGTGCCTGCTGTTCTCGTCTGAATTGAATACGTCGAGGAACGTGTAGCCCCTGCCGTATGATCGAGCGCAGTCAGGATACGAGTCGATGACTTCTGAGTTACGAGTTGGTGTCCTCTCTTCGTAAGCCTGGCGCTCACTACTACTCCCTCCAAACATCTCATCCCAATCTCCAAAACCACCAGTCTCGATGTCGGGAATAGTATGTGGTCCGTCGTCCATAGTATTAGTACTCACAGGTTCATCGTCCATATCAGACTCAGAGCGCGAGCATATCAAATCCTGCAGCCATGTACTGCAGCCAGAGCGAGGTTGGCTCATGTGCCGAGCAACGGCTACATCATCCTTGAAACCACCTTTCCCGCACGAAGGACACTGGAATGTCATATGTAGTACAATCGACGCGTGAGATTCCGAGAAAGCTGTAAGTAATCCCTTGCGGAATCAATAAGCCATATTCTCAAAACACCCATGTCCAACGTACCAATCCACCTAAATATTTCTAGTGACGTACCATCATTGTCAAATATGCGCCCGCAAAACTCCAATAAGTGGCAAGCGAGCCGAACTTCTAGTGAGCCTCCCAGTAGCGGAATCGCTGACTTGTACGACGTGGTCAATGCTATTGGGTCAATGGTAAGTGACTGATATCTGACTCTTACTAGGCACTGCTCGTTAACGTGTGTACAGACCATCAATGACATTGACGACTGTGAAGCCAACCTGATCATGGATCTCGCAAGGGCCCGACGCGATATAGTTAATGCGGAGAAAAAACTTGCTGATTGCATCGTGCGAGAGCAAGAGGTCATGACCAGTCTTTCAAGATACAAGTCTGTCATTTCCAAGCGGAAGCTTGACAAGGCCGATGTAGGACTAGGCCATATGCGTGTCACATTCAAAAAACACGGTCTTTCACATCAGCCAGCACACGGTTCTCTTGGTAAGTACTCTTATTATGTATACACTACCAACTAACCTCGTCATAGACTCATTCGCATCCTGCCGTCAGCTAATGATCCAGTTGGACTGATGCCTCGTCCCTTCTTTCAAATTGTGTCAAATAGTTTGTATTTAGCAGTACTGGTACTAGGCTAGTAGTATAGTAAATATGGACATAAAATTTTGTTCCATCTCGACGCTTGAATTGTGTGACTTCTAGTACGAAATGTTTGATCTCACGGAACCAATTCATGTAGGTGAGGAGAAGACAACGGCGAGCGTAGTATACAGACTGTTATTGTAATTGATTGTAAAACAGCTGCAACATCCTAAGGCGACCGGTCCGCTTGTTAAATTTTAATTTTACTAAGTACTTTCAGGTACTACTACTACTAGCGCTCGAGGTAGCTATTTTATTGACAAACACTGTGAGGCTGTACATCCTGTGAGCTCTGTCTCTCTGTGGGTTACTGTTGAAAAAAATTCAATGCCCGGGAGAAATGTGCTGTGAGTGCTGTCCTGCTGTGGGTTACTGTAGGTTACTGTCGAAAAAATTTGATGCCCCGGAGAAATGTGCTGTGAGCGCTGTCCCTCTGTGGGTTACTGTGGGAAACTGTCAAAAATGTTGATGTCTGTGGGGAAATTTGTAGTTTACAGATGCAGTAAGTAATGGCAGATTTGAATGAGCTCTGTAAGTAAAAGGTTGGCTTACAGCAATTTTCAAAAGCGTGAGTAGCTGTTCAGACAGTTCAGTTGCCCCGCGCGCCAGATCACAGGCTGTTACTGTGTAGAATGAACACCCGACAAACTGATGAGTCGAATCTAAATATTATACCTGCAGCTAAAAAGACATACTGCAATCCAACAGTATGCTATTGTTGTAATTTGATTCGTTGGACCGCATTGTGGCAACGTCTTGGAGCTATGCCATCAAGTCCCTGTATTATGATAGGCACATGAACATTATCCATCCAAGGTCATTGAATCATGATGGCCGCTGAGCTCAGGTGACAGATTTGCGACCTTCTGGACCGCAGGCGCGCGATTTTAGTCATTGAACCCCAGTGAAAATCGACAAGAATCGGGTAGATATACATATATAGATATCTAAAAAATAAAGGCCCATGAAATCTATCGATGTATTTCGATGTATTTAGACAAATGAGACTTTTCGAGACGCAAAAAGAAAGACATCGAGACAAAATTTAGTTGTTTAGATACGGTTCTCGTTGTGTTTAGACACATAGATATGCATTTACATACCAATTTATCACGCGATTTGATCCAAAAACATATCTAATGAGGGCAAATAAGATTATCTATTGGTATCGCTAGGGTTAGGATGGTATCGCTATCATATGTACTAGTTAGGGTATCGCTGCGCCTCGTGCGCCCTCCCCGCCCCGCCCCCCGCCATCGCGCCCACTATTCATCGTGATTGTCGTCTGTTTGAGCCTGTCCTGAGGAAGCCAGCTATAGAACATGTGGTCAGTACATGTGATAGCAATGCAAGTAACAGCACTCACCTGAACTGCTGCTTTGCGCTTGTATAACTAGCGCGATTGTAGACAGAATTAGTTAGATGTCAATAAAAGAAAATGAAACGAACCTCTTTGTCGGCTGCAGGCAACCTATTCCAGTAAGTCGCGAAGACACTGGCTGGTTCCTTTTGATGGCCGTTTGATTGCCACTCGAGGGCGCAAAGATTCCTAGAAAGATAGTGTTGAGCTTAATTACCATGAAAATATGGAACAGGACTCACCGCGCCGTGATCTTGGGGCTCACACGCATCGGCTTGGTACTCGGCTGTCGCTTCTTGATGGCATCAGGCTTCAAGTTGATCGTGTTCGCATGAGTCCCTACAACGAGTTCCATTTTCACAGACAGTGAAGTCGAATCGGAACTCGATGAGAGATCCGGCATGGAGACTGGTGTGATGTTGTGGGAGGGCGGGACTACAGCAGGGTCGGATCCAGAGCTCGAGGAATCAATAGAAGTCGGAGGAAGTTTTGGTGGAACGGGTCTGGGCCAAGGTTTCATAAGAATATTAGAACTACATCAATCGATCAGTAAGATGAATAACAAATAGATCAAGACTTACAGAGGGTTTTTGACCTGGTAAACAAGTGAAGTTAGTGTCTGGTTGGTGCGCTTACAATCCAACTCACCTCTACAATAGGTACCTCTTTGCCTTTTCCTTTATCGGTGCTGGGTGGTGGTGTTGGTTCACGGTCGAGTGAGGGGTGTCGCAGTGTGTCAGGTATCTGTAGAAGGATCGATTAGCAAACATTAAGATTAAAAAAAACTTACCGCTTCATTGGTGCTACTAGTAGAAGGCTCGGTGACAGGCTCGGAGGTTATATCTGAATCGATCCGTGCTCGCTTCTTCGTATGTTCCGCTTCAAGTTCATCGTCAGTGGAGCAGGTGTGCTTTTGAGGGTGTTCAACAGGCTCGGTCTTAACACGCTTGCTGGTTTTCTTGCCCTTGACATGGTAGGTAGACCATTGAGAGTAATTGTCGGTCATCAGCTTCATTGCCTTCCAGTTGTCGGCACACAAATGAAATTCGATATACTCTTTGCGCAGAGTATGAATAAGCCACCATAAGACTAGCAACAAGGCTTGGCCAATAGACACCGGTGCGAGGCCTTGGGCTTGAAGTTGCCGGAAGCTAGAGAGCATATGATTGCGGATGCTCTTCGCGCGATCAGCCGAAACAGGTGCGCCTTTCTCGTCCTGCAAGTAAGTGCACAACACATTAATGCCTTGCGCCATTCTCGTCAGGAAGGGTCTCGTCAGGAAGGGCCTCGTCAGGAAGGGCCTCAGGTATGGTGCCATACTCGAGGCCATCATAATGATAAAAATCTAGATAAAATTAAAGTCTCGATCATGATCGAGTAGAAGGACTCATACCTTCGATAGCGTCATCGGTCTGGGGGTTGGGCTGATCGCAAATATGTGAGTGAGTGTCTGTAATAAAATAAGACTTACCTCAGATGCAGGCACTAGTTCTGGGCTCTCAGAACGTCCCTTTTTCTGAGAGCTAAGTTCCCCACCATCGAGATCTGCGTGTGGCCTCTTGCTGCTGGACGAGGACGTAGCTGGTGGAGGGGTGTGTCGAAGATCTGGTGATGGGAGATCTGGCGCAATGCTAAGAGCGACCGGAGGAAGAAAAATTGATGCGAGTCTGCTGGGCTTGTGTCTGAAGTAAGTAGCTTTGGACACGCGTAAATTCCGCCCACCTGTTTTACGAAGACAGGAATTACAGTCGCACACATGGATGGTAGTGCCGTCGTCCAGCCTATGCGCGCCAGCTTCAATAGAGTCCATGATGTGCCTTGCGGTTTTGCAGATTCGGACTTAGTGATATTGATATTTGCGATCTGATCTAAGCTTGCGTGCACATTGCAAAGTTTAAACACTACAATTTGCAAACAGTTCATTACAAATTGCGCGTCATTTTTGCAGATTGTATGTTTTTTGAAATTTGCAAAGGTTCTTGACACTTTACACAAATTTACATTTTTGCCACCTCGAATTATTTAGATTGCTATCTATGTCATATGGTACTTAGCTATCTATCTACGTGTATCTACCTCAATATTGTCGATTTTCACTGGGATTGAACATTGAACGGTCATGAATGCGTTTTAGGTCTCCGAGACTCCGACCATTCTGAGTCACGACATTCATCCTTACGTTTTATCCTTATGCGACCTGACCGGCTTGTACCTGATTCCGCTTAAGATCTGTGACTGACTCTTGATGCATGATGCACTGGTGCAGTCACATCTTCAAGGGTGCTGCGGCCTACTGCATACTAGTCATTTGTCTTTCAAAACGACGGCACCGTCAGAAGGTTCTGGTGTTTTAGCTGACGTGGCCCATTGATACCTTGACTATATTTAAGTGGACGGTATCATCCACGATACTGCAGTATGGCTTTCACCAGTAACACTCCGTTGGATCCCATCCTCTACAGGCTGGGCCCTGCTGCACTCGAGTTTTTCCAGCAACAGACAGGTATCACGGAAGAGGGTGATCTGAAGCACCACATCCTGGCTGTTCAAGCAAAGGCTTTCGCGGTGAGTGATAGCTTTCATTGACGTAGGTCGAGTTGTATGTGACCTGTGTAGGTAGCACCGTACCCCTGCATCTACAACTTCGGATTCACAAGGCATGCCGTACTTGTGGAAGTTACATTCTATGATTGACGTGTATTCTAGTCTCAGAATTTCGGGACACCCGAAGTACCAAAGCGTGCTTCAGCTAGGTCGTGATTTCAGAAACTCACTGTTGTTGGATCTTGGATGTTGCTGTAAGCACATTCAGTTTATTCTGGTAGACGATAATCATGGACTCACCTCGTCATAGTTGGCAATGATGCATGCAAGGCAGTCGCAGATGGCTGGCCAATCACCCAAGTGATCGCTACCGATCTTAGGCAAGGTATGCTTCACGATAGTCGCCTCCCTGCGTAAACAAGGGAAAATGTATGTTAAGACTGAAACTTTATAACGACAGAATTTTGGGATCTCGGTCATGTCCTTTTTCGGTCTACGCCGACATCTTTTCCCGCTCAGTTTATTGCGGGTGACTGTCTTGATCCAGCTTTCTTATCGTCCGAGTCTGGGCATACATCACAGTCACCACCTGACTTATCCTCACTCGTCTCGCTGAATGACCTGCATGGCAAACTTACTGCCATCCATGCATCATCAGTATTTCACTTATTTTCTGCAGAGCAACAGGCATCGCTCGTCCGTGCTGTAGCTGCTTTGCTGTCTCCTGTGCCAGGAAGCATTGTATTTGGATCTCATGTCGGACTTCCGAAGCAGGGTACCATACGGCAGGAAATGTTCGATATGACAGTGGATATGTATTGTTATGATCCTGAAAGCTGGAATAAGCTCTGGGAAGATGCTGGTCCCTTCAAGACAGAGGCCGTCCTGAAAGAGGTAATAACTCCAAATGGTGAAATTGGGTGGAGGATGGTATGGAGTGCGACGATGAGCACGAAACTCACTGTATGAATAAACTTTTGTGTAGTTATGATGGCGATGTAACGAATAACCTTGTAGTACCACGTGAAGGTCACTCAGAACACCCGGGCTGAAGCGCGCCCAAACATTGACCGAAACAACCGAATATATCACAGCCACACTAGTACTACGTCGCACGACGCACAGCATAAATGTACAACTACACATTTCTTGCAAAATTAGCTTCCTCCTTTGTTCCCGCCATCTCTCTGTTACCCCGTCCAGTTTCAATGAACGTCTATCTTCAAGCCTGAGATACTCATTAGGATGAGTGGTGACAAGCTTTTCATCGAAGTCTCGAAGAAGGCACATGTTTTCTCGTCCATGCCCTCATGACAACGCAACATACACGTTAAATGGCATAAGTTCTCCACTTGGTGGTTGTGCAATATCAACAATTGCATTGCTGATTGTTTGACGATCATCATCTTGCGATCGGTAGTCTGTAAATGCATACTATGCTGGTGTCAATAGCAGTTGCATCTGGGTCACAACTTCTTCGCGGCCACCAATCATAATGCGGAATGTCTGTTGCACGAGGACAATGGCAGAACACCGGAGTCTAGATTCTCCAGAACTTTGGCTTTGGTATGGTCCAATTTGATGAGCTGGCAACTCCACAGACCACCACAACAGCTTTTGCCAATGAAAAGTTTGACTCGCGCTTGTCCAACACAATTTCCACTACTTCCCTTCTAAGATGCCCCATTCGCAACACCCAGATCGGTTTCGACATTAAAAGTGACCATCACCTTCATGCACACTGCCTGCTCAATCACGTTTGGTAGTGATGCACGTCCATCCTGTTTCAATTGTTTCTGTGTCTGCTTTGTAGCAACTGCAAACTCTCACATTCATCTCAACCTTTACTCAGAAACAGTCTAAGGGCCATATTTGGTGTACTGATATATTGTACGATAACCGCAGCTTTTCTTGTATATCACTCCGCCAGCTCGCCCCTTCAAAGTAGTATGGTTTCGTAAAGTATACCACATGTTCAATGAATGCTGATAAATTCGTCAATAGTGCAAACATTCAAGTTCAAATTTGTGCCAGTGGGACAAGGTTCCTGCCACACATCGGGGTGAATGATATTTAAAAGAGGTTTATATGTTGTACAAAATGTGAAGACAATATTTAATATTTAAACTGACATAAAGATGGGTGCACGACTTCAAATTTTGGTGGTGTTTTGTGTGTCATCCAAAATATCAAATATTCACAACCATATTCCCACAGACAATATGTCAACAAATATAATAAATATAATCAGATTTTCCATGTCTGCTTCAATTTAAAGTTTGATTCTTACATAAAACTTTGGAGAAAACTTGAAGTTTTGCCAAAGCTTGACATTTAAATCGAGTTTTAATGTCATGTCATCTGTAAAACTTCAAGTTTTCTCCAAAGTTTTACATGGAAATTGAACTTTAAGTTGAAGCAGACATGAAAAATCCGACTATATTTCTTATGTTTGTTGACATATTGTCTGTGGGAATATGGTTGTGAATATTTGATATTTTGGATTACTATGGAAAGCCAGACAACCGTGCTCAACTTTGACAACCGGACCACCGTGCTCAATAGCCTATTGAGGTAAGTGCTTCTATGGACCTCCGAACACCCCCAACTGTTGGAAAAATATATTAAATTGTGATCCCAGCACACGTCATTGTAGAGGAGGAAGTCACATATTCAAGTTCGTGTCAAGAGGAATAAAAGAGTGCATTACACTTGCTACTAAGAGTCCTGAGTTTCGACTGCTTCGTCTAGACTGATATACTTCTCCAAACCAGCCCATTCGCAATAGTCATTGCAGATATGCTGCTCCTCGAACATTGTCACTGCGACTTCTATGTTGCTGTCACCGAAAATATCCTGCCCTCCGCTAACTGAACTGACCATTGCAATAGTAGTACATCAGTGACAGCTGGAGTGGAAAAAGCTTAAGAATATACATACGGGTCCATCAATATTTGAGGGTCAGTTAGTAGTTTGGTGCTTCCTGATAGAGATTGATTAGTATAAGCCTGCGCTTGTCATCAGTCACATAGTAAGGACTACATACCTTGGTAGTCAGAGATAAATGCTAAACCACCAGTCTTCACATATTGAACATGTTGAGTGAACGAGAAGAATACTGCTAAATCATAGCCATCATCAAGTTCATCGAGCAAAGGATTAGCATCCGTATTGTGAATAAACTTGAGAAATGCATCGTCGCCGCCATCAATGAGTTCTTCCAGGAGATAGCATGCACGAATAGGGCATGTCCTTGAACCTGGCTTGGAAGCCGCTGTTGGGCCTTGGACAAACGCTAAAGTAAGGCCGGCCTCAACAAAGCGTACTCGGGGAATGGGAGATGGTGGAGGACAAGACGAAGCGAGGCAATGATCAATGAAATCATAGGTGAGTTGTAAAAGAGAACTCGCCCAGTACAGCACATTTGCTTCTTTAAAGAGCTTCGGAAATTCGTCTGCCACAGGAAACCTACCGATCTTGAAAGGTCCCTGTGATACACCATGCGGGTATACTTGGTGAAAGGGCCGTTTGACTACAATTTCGTGGTGGGAAACAGAGCCAAACCCAGAAATGGGAGGGGGAGTGAGTGTGAGCCATCCTGGGTGGGCCGTCTTGAACCCGCCCATCCCAATCATGTTGTCCTGGGATATATTGACTGTCAATTGGCCAACCCAGGATTCTGCGGCATCAAGTGTGAATGAGCGGTAATCTTCATTTTGTAAGATCTCCATTAATAGACGTTTAGGAATAGGGTAGAAATGGATCGTCTCGTTCTGTTTTTCGAATACTACACAAGCCATTAGTCCACAACTTGAAGCGACATATTAACTACCATTCTTACCTTTCTTTACATTCACATTTGCTGTGCCTCCGGATCTGAGGGCCGCTTTCAGGTTATCACGGTCAGGTGAGCAGAACGTAACATCCATGGGTGCAATCTTCTTGCGTGGAGGAGACAGAGGTAAAGCTCTACTGCCACTCTCCGTTCGCACATGAATGTGCTTAGATGCGGCTGGTACTGCCATGCAAGTCTCAGTTGCCAGCACAGATTTGGCCCGAGCTGTATCCTTGACCGCAGTGCTTTGCATTATGTGGCTGCCACTGCCCACATCCTCTATAAGTTCCTCCGCTAAGTCTTCGTCAACCACAGCACTTTGAACTATATGGGTGCTATCACCCTAAAACGACGACAGTAGTAAGCCTCAAGGAACGATAAAGAAAAATGTTAGTAAGCTTACATCCTCTGCAAGCTGTTCCGCCCAGTCTTCGTCGACCACAGTACTTTGGACTACGCGAATGCTACCACCCTAAAATGATGATCATAGTCAGTCTCAAGTAATGACAAGGAAAACATTAATAATCTCACATCTTCTGTAAGGCGTTCTGCTCAGTCTTCGTATTCTAGCCACCGTGCCCAAGGTGCGACTACCATTAAGGCGAATTGCTTTGTCTTGAATATCATTACCTTTGAGTCTTTGCGACCTGCTTGCAAGCACTGCGAGAGAAAATATGGTTCTCCAGCTGGGTGCTTTGAGAGATCTACCCATTTTGCATCCTGGACAACAAACTCGTCATCGCGCCAGTTAAACCCGGAGCAAAAGGCCACAATCTTTGGCAGCATGGTATTGAGAGCGATGGCTATAAGTCTGGGTGCATCAATACGAGCATCAATATCTTTCATACCCTCGCAAATATTCTAAAATGCACGTCAATTAAATGCATATCAACTCCTATGATAAAATACATACCCCAATAGTGATGCCACGACTACCCTTCCGTCGGGTGCCACCCTCGTGCACAGCTGAAATCTCCAGAGATATGGTCTGTGCTGGTGGCACAGGAAGTGGGAGCCTAGCCGAGATCTTGGCCCAGCGTTCGCGTTCGGATCCATAACTAGCATGGTGCTCAGAATCACCAGAGGCCGGTGTAGAGACTCGTGCATCTCATAGTGTGATATGGCGCTTTACACTAGGGAGTATACAGCACCAACTCGCAGCATCACTCTGTGTACCATCCACAGTGATTCCTATATGACGCGCAGCTTTCCCGCGCAACGCGCACCATGCGCGCACCATTCTCGCGCTTCACGATGTATACGCGCGCGCGCGTTCCCGCGCTTGCGCGCCCTATAGCGCCAGCCATCCAGATGCATCCATCCACTGTCCACCAAGCTCCCTAGTGCGTATATTTCCATTTCCTTTATTAGCATAGTTCCACCTTTATTTTTATCATAGTTTCTCACTCATATATATTTTTACATACCTACTCGGTAGCGCTTCGGCTCCGCATGAGCGCGCTTAGGCGCGCTATATAAGCGCCAGCAGTACATACTATTATTTACCTTACTTTTCACCCAACTTTACCTAGTACTTACTACTTAGAAAGTCGCAGTAGAAATCTATTCATTAGCACAACACATCTCACATCCTTTATCTTGCTTATATCTTCACATAAGTTTAGTCTCTCTTATTTCCGCTTACACGCGCGCGCTTTCCCGCGCTTCGCGCTAATACGCGCGCGCGTTCCCGCGCCTTCGTACCTTGCGCACACCTGCGCTTTCTCGCGCTTCGCTGAAGCGCGTACCTCTAGATCTCCGCTGCACCTGCTTCCCCTTTAGGGTCGAATGCACTTGCCATCTCAAGTATCGCAGACTAGGCAACGCACGAACTACAACTTTTTAGATACAGTCAGGAGCATTTCTTTGTTCCTCTCAGTATTGTTGTTTCTACACCGGAGTGCCCATAGTAGCCTGAGGAAATGGACCGGTGGGTCAGGCCTGAAATGGGTGCTGTGAGTGTTGCCACGTTGATGGAATGTTGACACTGGGACCTGGCATGGGGCGTGCAATGTGAGCCATAGCCACAACAGGTGGTGGATTGATCGTTGCTGAAATGATTGTCAGCACGTAAAGTAACACAAGTTTTCTTTACTCACACTTTCTCTGTGCAGCGTTCACAGACTGCCAGATGATGTGCGGATCTGGCAACTCACAGCAGGGTCTCACTGTTGTAGCTAACTTGCCCTGATATCGTCTGTGACAAGGACCACAGACATAACGTCCTGGTGTTCCTGGGTCCACAGTGGCGACGTAAAAACAGGGGTCGCCCTTCAAGATCTTGGAGCTGCAGGCGGGACGTTCACACACTCGATCGTCTTTAGCGAACGCATCTTCAGTGAATTGAGAGACGAGTTCATACCCAGACATTGTGAGATTATGAGAGGAGGTGTGAGCGGTAGCAAAGCGTTAATGCCAAAGACTCAACTAACATCTCATTAAATACATGAACACCATGTAGCCAGTGGCTGATGGCGCCTCACCTGGATATAGCAAGAACCCTTGCAGCCACAGTAGACCTGATGAGTGGTAGCCAATGATGGCGCTGTAGATGAGGAATCTTGACTATACGTGAAAACACTTAAAACAAAAGGGGTGCTCAACAGCAAGACCGGGATACGAGACAACGACTCGACCCAAAGGACAACCACTGAGAGAAGTTCCTCGAAATAAAGTGGAGGGAAACTCTGTGAGCTAGGCGGGCGCTAATAGGCACGAGAAGATAAGGCGCGCGAGATGCGCGCGTGAGCGGGAGGTCCGAGAATATGCGCGCGCGAAGCGAAGGCGCGCCTAAAGCGTTAGAGGCAAGATCTTACTGAGGAGTGAGTGCAAAGGTGGAGGATTGACAGGAGGATATGATCAGATAACAAGTGGGGAGGTGATCTATTCACTTTCCAGTACACAAAGATAAGGGAAAAGTAAGTACCAGAACCAAAGGAAACCCTTCTGTATTTAAGAATGGAGAAGGCGCGCTTCCGAGCGCGCTCCCGAACCGAGTAACCATATCAACTCTAATTATAACTAAGTTTAAATAAACTTTCCATAAGTAGCGCGGATGTCGGACCGAAGATTTTATTAGTTCAATGGATAAGATAGAAATAACGCACCAGCGAATCAGTAAGGACATGGGACGGATGGACGGACGATAGCGCGAAGACCTATGAGGAGGCGCGCGAACGCGCGCGCGAAGCGCGCATAGCGCGTGCGTAGGTAAGGCGCGCCTAAGTGCGCGCGAGTTCGGATAAGGCGCGCGCGAGACTGGTCCTTAGGAGTAGAGCTGTAACATATAGGAATGTATGGTTAAAGGCCGGATATTTCGTCATTGAGACGCGCGAGTCTCTACATCTCCTGGGGACTTACATTCTGAGTGTCCCCACTCAGTGCTATAGCGCGGGATCCTGGACTTAGAGAGGTGGTGATAGACAGGGATCAGGTGATCGCGAGAGTAGGGTTGTCCATTGATGATCGCGAGCATCGATGATGTAATCGGGGGAGATGTTGATAAGAAGATGGACGCGTTCTCGCGATCTCTTAACTTCTTTCTTATCAATCTCTCACCATGCCTACTTTCAATGTTGCTATGCTGAACGCCACTCCTTCCCCTGAGCCTGTTCCAGTGGTGCAAGGGCTTCCTGAGGACGCGCCTATGGGCGACGCTAGCGCGGAATCCGATACCGATCGCCTCTTCACCGCTTGGGCCTTCATCTTAGTCTCCCTGGAGGGATGCGTGATGTCCGCGCCTGAACTCAAGGCGGAACTCCTCGAGGATCAAGAGATGTGGTTGCGCGAGTGGTATTCTGTGCTGGTGAGTGCGCTTACATGTATTGGACTTGGTTATGGACTGACACTCCTAGGCTACTTTGAACGGTTGTTCTACGCGCGCGGGTGTGTTAGCGGTGGTGCTGGAGATGGATGACAAGAGCGCGGAATTGTTAAAGCAGGGGCGGAAGAGTTGTAAGGAGATTGAGGCGGTGGTGAAGGACTGGAAGGCGAAGGCGATTGCGTCAGTTCCTCAGGCACCTCCCATGCAGGCTGCGCGCGCCACTGGCGCCTCCGAACTCGAGGCGCGCGCCACTGACGCGTCTGGTACTGATGCCAGCAAGAAGGTACGCCTTCTGTTTCCTGTTGGCGCGCCTCTCTATTAACATGTTTGGTTGCGCTAGGCGCGCGTCGGGCGCATGTCTATGAACAAAGCGCGGCGCTGTGGCGCCTGCATTGCCAAGGACATTGACTGTGGAGGCGCGCCTGGTCGCCGGTGCCCTCCTTGTGATGTGTCCAAGCGCGCTTGCACTTTCTGTAAGTCGCGCCTCTTGTCTTTTATTGGCACGCGCCGCTGACTGCTGTGGATTAGCTAAGCGCAACCTTACTGATGCGCCTAAGGCGCGCCCGCGCAAACCGATGCCTAAGCGCCCTATTGCTGAGTCTGCAAAGGAGACCGCTTCCTCCATCGCTGTTGAGGATGAAGAAGAATCTGAGGAGTCTGAGATGGATGTAGAGATTGTTGGAGAGCGCTCTGTGGAGGAGAAAGTCGTGCGCGCCTCGCGCGATATTCCAGTGCGCGCCGTTGGTCCTTTGGCGTCTGGTTCTGCGCCTAAGGGAAAGGACAAGTTCAAGGATCCAGCGGTGGAGTTGAAGGAAGCGCGCGCCGAAGCCGCGCGTTTGAAGGAGGAAAATGCGCACTTGCGCACTTCCACTCTCCAGATGCGCCAGTATGCGCGCGCCCAACAGGCGGACCTCCTCAATTATTCCAACAAGTTTTTCGCCATGTCCAACGCTTGGGCTGAATTGGAGAGGCAGATCAATGACTCTCTTAAGTAGATGTACCTCTCTTTTGTTTTCCTTGTCTCTTAAGCGCCAATGCGCCTGTACAATGTATCCTGTGTTGCCTTGTCCATGTCCATGTCCTTATCTGATTCACTGGGCTTAAGAAATTAGAATGATAAGTATGTAAGTAAATGACAAGCGCGCAACGAGATCAAGGTAATGCAATGGACTTTACTGAATTTTCTGCGGGGTGCGCGCCCATCTTGTCTTCTTCACGCGCCTTCCATCATCTATTCCTGCCGTGTTGCGCCGCGCGCGTCGAAGCGATAACGCGCGCGCGCTTAAATGAAAGTTAGAAAAAAAGGTGCGCGGCGCCGCGCGCGCGTTAGAAAGTGAAAGTCTAATGAGGTGATTATGCGCGCGCTATACAATTAAGGTAGTGATCAGTATGTACTTGCGGGGTATTAGCGTGTTTCTTGGTGCATTTGTTATATTCTAGAGTCTGTGGGGTTTATGTGCAGGCAATGCGCGTTATATGAACAAATGATATGAGAGATATCACCGGACGAAACCCGGGGTAACACTGAGAGTATGTACTTAATGGAATATTTTTGTGTTCTTCGTATTATCTGGTGTTTTTGTTTTTATGTTTTTGAGGGGTGCGCTGTAGGGATTCATTTCTGGCTGGGCTTGTAGAGACTGTTTTTACCTTACCTTATGTTGGCACTTTTGTAGCTTACATAAGCAAGCAATCTTTTCACCAGTTACCAGTATGAGTCAGAGTCCTCAGTAGTTTTTATGATATTTCCTCTCCTCTGAGCCTTGAGCCTGGTCCAGAAACCCTTTAGGGTCGAATAGCAGCTAGGTTCTGCAAGACCCAACACATTGTTCAGACTCACCATCTGAATTGTTGTACCTTCAACTGGAGCCCACCGCGAGGGTTTCTTGTGTTTCTAGGCTCTCCAAGCTCTCCAATCATCCCCCAAATTCGCCTATTACCCAACCACAGTCATTCCTTACCAGCTTCTCCCATAATCCCCAGTTTTCAGCATCTTGTCCTCCTCCCCAGCGCACTGATAGGTGTTTTTCCCACGCGTTTTTCAAGCGGATCTCTCGCAAACTTAGAGTCGTATTCCCCACGTCCGTCCGGTCATTTTGAGCCCTGGTTCATCCAATTTGGAGCAGTAGTTGTGGAGATATTGAGTTTTTTGTGTTTTTGAGAAGTTGAGGGGAGATAAGGGTTTTCTGGGTGCTCAAAGGCCTGTCTCATCTAGCTCTTTTGGCCATTTACCATCCCTCAGTGGCTCTGTCCATTGCCCCAATCTGCTTTTTGATAGGACCAGCCCTTGTTGCCCTGCACCATACCCCTTCCTCCTCCTCCCTCTTGCACCTCCGCACTTTTTCGCACTTTCACCAGCCCATTTCGCATCAGAACCCCATCGACCCTATATCCGTTTTGAAGCCCTCGTTCATGGCTTTCATTCGCGCATATCCGCGCCTTCGCGCGCTCAGCTGTTCGCTCGCTATTCGCATTTGCGCGTTCCCCCCTAATTTTTGCCCCATTTTTGCGCCTTCCTTATATCTCGCCGCCCTGTGATCGCGCGCCCATCGCCTTAGGCGCGTTCTGACCGCATTTTTCCGCGCTTTCCATCCATCCGATCAGATTTCCGATACGCCCGCCTGCGCCCTCGCTATCTGCACTTCTCACAATTTCCACCCTTTTCCACCATTTCCCTCGTTTCTCACTCAGTTCTCCACCAAACCTAGTCAACCCTATACTCATTTCGAAGCCCTCGTTCGCCTCTTTCTATCCGTCTACTCCCCATCGTCATCCATGCAACCATCATCGCGTTTTTTTCACTTTAGCATCGCTGCTCCTCCAGTACTAAAAGCAAAGTCTGGAGGATATCGTTTTATTGCATTGCCTGACCCTCACTCACTGGCGCAGTTTACCTGGCATACGCGTCAAGGAAACAAAAGGTGTTTGAGGACCCCCAGGTTAGTTCTCTTAAGTTTAGCTTAGCTTTGGTTTGCATAGGTAGATGACTGGGGACAGTCATGATTTAAAGTTCCCATGAGATGTAGGGATTCATTTCTGGCTGGGCTTGTAGAGACTGTTTTTACCTTACCTTATGTTGGCACTTTTGTAGCTTACATAAGCAAGCAATCTTTTCACCAGTTACCAGTATGAGTCAGAGTCCTCAGTAGTTTTTATGATATTTCCTCTCCTCTGAGCCTTGAGCCTGGTCCAGAAACCCTTTAGGGTCGAATAGCAGCTAGGTTCTGCAAGACCCAACACATTGTTCAGATTCACCATCTGAATTGTTGTACCTTCAGCGCGTTCGCGCGAATATGATTGAGTGATGCGCGGGCGCGCGGAATATGGTCGCGCGCGCTAATCGTCTTGCGCGCGCTCGGGCTCGTCTTCATCAGGTTCAACGGTTTCATACGCTTCTAGTTCGTCGATGCTCTCGTCGTCTACTCCAGTCATTTGGGTTACCAATACGCGCTCCTCGCTACGCGGGTAGTAAGGAATGACGCGAAATGCGGCGAACCGAAGTTTTGAGATTGCGCCGTCCAACTCGGCCAACATATATGAGCCTCCC